ATAGCTCCTCTCTTCCTTGACCTCGGCACTAGATGGGGGTGAGTGGTCAGCATCACGCCCCGGCCGGCTTTACCCCCGGGAAAGGACCCCGGTACCCATTGTAGAGGAGGCTGGGTGGGCCCCAGAGCCGGTCTGCTGCAGAGGACAAAATTTGACTATTGGTTTGTTCGTGTGTAATATATACTGACAAGGCATATGAGGAAAGTGCTTAGTGATTTACGAGCCGCTTCGAGATATGTTATTTCAGATCCTGGATTGCCTAATTGGACCGTGTAATTTTGTATGTAACATATCTGTTATCATTGTTTATTAATTGGACTTTGTGCAGATAAAGGGAGAAAATAGCCTATAGTGTGTGATAATGTCGACAATATTTTGCTCAGGTAACGTTATCTGTACAAGAAGATACCTGTATTATCATTAGGGTCATCAAGGAGGTTTGGAAGGAGAGGGATACGTAAGATATTTGTTGGAAATCATGAAGCCATCTAGGACACACGGGCGAAGAAACTATGTTAAACAGGTTTGAGTGTACTGAATGGACTGGGTTTAGCTGGCTCAGGATACAGTTCAGTGGTGGGATATTGTGAAAACAGTAGTCAGTGTTTGGGTGTCGTTAAAATATGAAAAACTCATTGACCAGCTGATCGACAAATAGCTTCTCAATGACTTTGGCTGTTTCAGGGCACTGATCTAAGTTTACGTTTCCCAATTTCTTTCTGTATGTCGCCATCATCATCTACTTATGGGTCTTATGCCAGGAGTTAGAAAATTAAAATTGTATTTATCTCTTTACGTGATTCAACAAAGGTAACGCCACAATTTTTCATGATATCCGGTTAATTCATTATGTGATTTCGCTCAGAGATCATGAACGCAATGAATATGTAAGCCACGGGCGGGTTTAGGCTAGCTCAGACAGCCAGTTGCAAATAACCGACGGCCGAGACATACCCGAAAGGAATATTGTGTTCACCGATTCTGAGAACCACATTACGAGTAGGCCTACATATGTGCTGAGACTTAAGGTCTACGGGAAAATAATCCTATTCCAAGTAATTATCGAATCTTAATATTTCGTTGGAAACTTATTATTAATCCAGAAATAGATCTCCGTTGTTTCTGTAATTCGTGACACTGCTGCGTTCGACAAGAATTCTTACGCCATTATTCCTGTGAAATTCCTTTATGTCATTCAGATCGGGTACACTCGGCTAATCCCGTTGTGTGACGTTTCGTCACTAGGGCTAGGTTCGGCTCCTGCCGATGGGTCAATGAACTGGGAAGGGCGCTGAGGAGAGGAAGAGCGAGAGAGAAAATGTACACATTGCGTGCGTGCGACAGAGAGGCATACAGGCGCCAGAAAGAGAGGGTTGGAGCATACATAGGAAGGGGTTCTAACACTGACAGTGTTATAGCCGACGGCTAAAGTGTCAGTTGAACTCACCTTTGCAGGAGAATTTTTATCATTGTAATTTTTTTAAACTATCCGGAGGAACCTTAGTCCGAAGTGTGTAAGAGTGACAACGGGAGTTTCACTAATCGTCTTCTGTTTTTGTGTGTTTTTTCTCGTTTTGGTTTACGAGATCATGGAAATACGAGTTTTTTCTAATTTATTTACTCACGCTCAGAGGTTAAGTGCCGTACATTCATGTGTGGTATTTCATATTTCAGCGGTTTCAGCGTCACTGGAAACATTCTGTTCCTAAGCGACGGTGGTTTGAATCGACAACGGATTTGACATTGTTTCTGACGTCGAAATATAAGGGAAGCAATTACACATGTTCCATGCATGGTTCTTCTATTGAGTTTCGTTGTGCACGTTTGCTTCTATATTGTAGGAGTGAATTAATTAATGTGTTTCTGTAGTTTGTTCATTCTTTATTGATTCGATGGGCAGTTTCTTTTATTTATGGAAAACTATTGTAGTATTTTGATATGGTTTGTGCTTGAAAGTGAAGTGTAAATTCCTGTCACAGATTGCTTCTAAAGTTATCGTTGTTTCTTGTTAATTTGGTTCACGTGTTTTTGTGATAAGTCATTTTTGGACAGGACTGTGATTGAAACGTTTTACTTCTGTTTCATATATTGGGCAATAGGATGCGTATCTCAGAAATATTGTTTCAAAAAGCCATCTCCTGGTTTCGTAAAAAAATTCGTCCTTTCCACTCTCAATTTGACTACAAGCGGGAAGTGTTCTGAAGCTCGCGAAGATTTCTGCACGATCGTCAACTCCAAGTCAGTCAACGAAATTATTTTATTTATATTTATTCTTTTATTTTCACCGTAGTTTATTGTCCCAAATACGTTTTTTTTGTCTTTTTGTGATGTGTTGATGTGCCTACATTATATTAGTGTTTAAACACATAACACGAATGCAATATATATATACAAAACGATGTACAAAGTATTAACTTTTTCATACTGGGTAATGTGATTGCTTCCTCGTTTATTCGTTTTGTTTCCGAAGAATGGCGTACAGTCACGGAAGCGAATGTCTTTGAAATCGATAGTACACAGGTCGGTGCCCTCACAAAACACTAGTACTCCCTGCCTACATGCCTGTTTGTTTTAAAGTTGATCACGTCATACATGCGGCACATCATGCAAATTATATTGTCAGAAAACGAGTTAAAACTGTTTAAAATTCATATCGGACATCTGTTCTTTTAAAAATATTAAGTAGCTGCAATTTTATGATTGCGTGCAGTAACATGCGATATTCATAACTTTAAATACGAGTGTGTATCACAATTTTTTTTAATGTTGTAAATGGATTTTGTTTTCGTGTTTAAAACGTGAATATTTTAAGGGCATAGCTGCGCTCTTAGTAGAAGTATGAATACTTTCATGCAGAACAGATCTATATTTGGGGTCACAAACTTTATTGGAATTTGAAGCTATTTTAAGAGAACTTTAAATAGGATTATTGAACAAATTCTTTTCAGGTGATTTGTGCAACCAGAGAAAGGTTTTTGGGATTTCGATTCCGACAAATTTCGGTATAGTAGTAACCTATGTTGTTAATCTCGAGACTAGTTGTAATGCACGTTGTTTACGAAAAATAATTTATAACTTTGTAGTGTAAGATAGATTATTTTGTTTTAAATTTTGCTTTTTATAACGTTTTAGTTTGCAATTTTTAGGATTCATTGAACCACTGAGCTTCCTGTATTTCAAATACATAACTCAGGTTTCAGAACCGTAAGAATCATATCTGAATGCATGGAGGGAGTTTCTGAACACATCTTCGGAACCGCTACCTGCATTTAAGAGGAAATTAACATCCCCACGAAAAAAGGTGAATAATTCTGCTTTCTTAATTCGGGAGAGAATATCGATTATTGCCTTACAGACTCATTGTCTTGTTACCGTGTTTAGTATTAGGAACTTAAACATTTCGAGATTGGACACAGTACTCTAGAACGTTCCATAGGTGCACTTGACAAAAGACTGTCGACTAAAGGAATTTTGAAGGCGATTTGTGCAGTGCTGACCAAAAACACTAATTACGTCGATATAATGGTAATACTGATTAAACTGAAATGATATTGAAAACGGGATAGCCAACTGTGACAAAATAGTGGTAGCAATGAATTAGCCGTTTGACAAAGAAGAATCCTTGTTAAAAACGTGGCTAGTCGGGAGTTTATATACCGCACCAGTATGCGGGAGCAAGTCTCTAGGTGGCTCTGCTGTGGTAGCGGTATTGTTAACAACTTCGATGTTGTCGATGTGAGTGCTTCTCCGCCGCCGTGTTATGGACGCTCTGGAGGAACTACTGGGGGACCAAGCCAGGGGATGTTGGTCACTCCCCCTTCAAACCACAAACTATGTAAGCACAACTAGAAGCAGCACCGATGGTGATGGTGCCATCGATAAATCTACAACGTCCATACCTTCGACGTCGGTGTCACCACCACCGCCCCCACCATCAGATGTCTCAGCTGACAGCACAACACCACCTCCTGAAGGAGCACTGTTACCAAATGACAAAAGATCTGCTAATTCTATACGAGGTAATCTGTTTGAACATTACAGTACTTTGGTTACATAATGTGAACCGGAGTTAGGAAATATATGACGGGAGAGGAAAACCTCACGAGAGGTCAGCTGTACAGACAACAGCAACAACAAATAACACTTTAGTAAACTACAGGGTGATCGAAAACTTACTCAACTCATTCTTGTCGAAAATAAATTACATTGAAATCATTAAACAAAAAGCAACGAAGAATGCTTTCGTCTGGCTTGTCGCGCCTTGTAGTCTGGTAGATTTTTTCAGACGTTTCGGAGGTAGATGCTGCCTCCATGCAGACTTCTTCATGAGCGACTAACAATAGCCCAGGGAGTAAAGACATTCTTTGTCTTTTTTGGGCCCTAATATTCATTACCGTGATCACAAAAGCGCTCAGTGTGCCCTATCCTAAGCTGAATGAATTCAATCCACATCCTCACTATTCATTTGTTTAAACCTACTGATAGACACTCCAAGAATCAGATTTCTAAAATATACCTCATGTAGTGTTATGCGTTAAACCTATTTCCGTATATCAGTTCTGTTGCTGTATTTCTAGATAACGCTGTATCACACAGATATGCAGATGGAAATGGAATCAGCTCTTTGACAATTACACTTGAAATGCGTGGAGACACTGCTTTCAGACTTAGCCCGCAAGTTAATCAGACGAACGTTTGTGTGGGTATATTTTGAACCCGTGTCGTTGGAATGTCAATTAATCCCTCGTCTTATTTTGTTAATAATCCTTGCTCTGATGGAGGGGACATACAGTCTTCGTAACCTCTGAGAAACCTTCCACTGCTGGTTGAAAATTCTTTCTTAGTAACTTTCAGGCCTGATAATAAATGTTCCATTGCATCTGAAAGATCTCCACTTATATGATTCTGAAACTTGTTAAAAAATCAGTGTCTGAAAATTGTCTTTGGTATTTCTTTACGAATGTCCTCAAAAATAATTTCCTTTGGAAAAAGTAAATTTTTTCTCTTGTCGAGATAATTATCATAATCGACCTCGTAACGATAACTTTGTTCCATATGCCTGCTTGTTAATCTAACTTCTGGAGCTGCACACATCGGACGGTCAGCATTGAATAACAAAATTTCTGAGCGGACTGTGAACACACCAACCAAAATCTCTGCCTCGTAATAAGCGTAGAACTGCCCTTTGCAGCTGTTGCCTATTTTGTCTCAAAACGCGCAGAAAATTCTGGAATTAATGAACTTGATTTTACAAAATTTAAAACTACGTCTAACACCGTTACCAGGGCATTCTGAAACAAGAAGACGTCATTGAATGGTCCAGTAGCTGGTGGTGCAATTCAGTGCAACTAATTTTAACGCGTGTAAAATAAAACATTAGTTATTTCGTCCATCGATCGTGTCATCTAGACCGGTGGTATTCAACCGGGGGCACGCGAAGACATCTTAGGGGGTACGTGAAATTTAAAAAAATATTATTTTATGATAAACACTGAATAATCAGTAATGTAATTTATTTAATTTATTTTAGATGTAGATTATATACTATGTATAACTTGAATTACACACCAACAACTTTGGGGGTACAAAGTTGAAGAGAAATTATATCTGGGGGTACGCGAACAAAAAAGGTTGAATACCACTGATCTATACAAATGTCTACGCATTGCTTCCGGCTAAAGTTTTTTAAGTCATGTGCAAGTCAGTTAGGTTTTCCTCTGCAGCTTGATTGTTATGTATGTATCTCACAAATGGTAGAAAAACACAATGACCGACGTCAATGCATTCATCAACTCGCAAAGCAAAAACATTATTGTTTCTAATCCCTTTCATTAACTCACATTCGATATTACAACTGTTCTCATGGATTATTTTCGAAACTACAGAATGTGAGTGTGGGAGGGGAAATCTTTTAATAACGATCAAATGATTGTTACGAGGCACACGATCTACGTCTTCTGCGCAAGGTATGATTAGATTTTAGGCAATCCTTTGGGCTTTACCGCAGTAAGCATCTTGAAAGCTCTCTTTCTGTGATGATTCACACACATCACCATTTTCACTGACCTCAGATAAGTTTGAGAATGCTACAGTTTATAAACACTGTACATTTGACTTTGATACGAATGTAACGAGCTTAGTATGTAGGCGATCTTGTAATTTTGCGAGAATAGTGGAAATGTTTTTCTTAGGTTTTGTAACATAATACTGGGTATCAGGCACACTGAAGCACCAATTCACGTAAATCCCAATTGGAGATAGCTGTCATCACAGAAATGTTTTTAGTAACTCGTGTTACAGCGGAAGTTCTGTGAAATATGATAGCCCGACATTAAACAGTTCTCTCACTGAAACCTTGATTTTATGAGTCTGAGAAACACTTAAAATTATTCATCGTCTGGACTTTTTCCATTGTACCTGTTTAAAAGAAGAAAAGACGACGTTTCGGAAACTGGCTCTGTTTGTCTTTAGGCGAGAGGTACCTACTCAGTTGGGTCCGTCAGATAGAGCTAGTCTCCGTCATTAGATTCTTCTTTTTAAACAAGGACGATGGTAAAAAGTCCAGAAAATAAATAATTTTAAGCATAATCCACCATCGTCAGCAACATTAACAGTTAAATTACTGAGAAACGCTGTTTTAACATGCAATTTTTTTACGGAGAGGATATACTAGACTCATGTCGAATATCCAGTCTGGAAGGCCACCCACTTTCGGTTGTCGCGCGACTGTTTAATCAGTATATTTACAGCTGTGTACCATATCTGGAGGCCGTCTCTGCAATTCAGAACCCGGAAACGGGCCGTGCTTTGATGAAAATAGACCGACTTGACAAAGAATTATTTTTGTAACATAATTATGTAATATAAAGGAGGGAATATAAAATGTGAAAAGAATTTGTGCAGAGTAGGCCTACATAGTAAAGACGAAGAAAGGTTATTAAAATTACATGACAAAATAACGTGATATAAAAGTTGATTTCCGTGAAGTAGAAGCTCTCCTGAATAATTGTCCCAACCTGTAGGAAAATATAAGACAAATTATTTGGTCTAAGGAAATTATTACTGTTTACTATGAGAATCATACGAGACAAAGGACACTGCTGTCAAAATATTGAGCTACTGAATATTATAGTAGGTGGTACATTGCAACCACCCCTCTCTTCAACACAAGGATTCGCTCAACTCGGTTGTAGCCTTCGTTGATTTTTAGGTTTATGGGGTTAATTGGGGAACTTAGCTCAGGTGAACATGGACTTGTTCGTCAGGGAATATTGCGTCGAGGAGTATAAGGGTCTATTTATATAGGAACGTAAAGATAACTACACGAGCCCTTGCCGATTTTTCAGAAAATATTATTCAACGTTTTTCAATGGAACTATTTATATTGACTCCGAGCTCGTCCGTTCCACGAACGAGTCTCGCCCAACTTACGTCTCCAACGATATTTTTCCTAAACGCCAGCGAGGAGGTTTGGATAGTAGCTTCAGGTAGATGTCCCAAGTTGCATTGTAAAAATAATTCTTCATTAGACAATAACACAATATTTTATTTTAGTAATTAACGACTACTTTCGCCAAATCATAGAGCAATTTTTGGTGTTTCCTTGCCGGAATCCAAGACTAGAGTTCCCTCGGTATTACCAGCGTAATCGGTCTTCCGTTTTATTTAAGTTTGAAACAATGAACAAATGGTCTGATTGGTCTTATCAGCTCTACTTCGCGTGGACTTCGGACCTTTCAGAAAATTTACATCACATCAAATAGCTCTCGCCGCTATTGTGCCAACAATTATACTGAACGACACGGTACTTGTTTTTAAAATTACAAATTACAGCTTACAGGTGGCCCTTCAAAGATTGCGGCCACCACTCTGGCGTCACACTAATTGCGTTAAACTTTAACAACGAGCCCCGTATTAAATTATAGTTTGCCTCCACACCTTGACATCTTGCCGGGACTCGAACCCAGAAACGCGCGGTCACAACATACTAAACACTGAGCTTTAAAGAGTGGGCAGTGAGATCGAGTGAGAAGTGCTATTTCTTGCAAGGGATATACCAGATTTATCTGCGCCATAGTAACTTTTGTAAGATTACAAATGTACATAAGAATAATAAATGTACGTCAATTCCTCAATTTTTATTTCATTTCAGGACCTTGTGTGCATTCGATAAATTGAAGTAACTTTTTGGAAAAACAAAAAATTTAATTCTGTACTATAGCATGGACAGTGAGATCGATCAACGCTAATGAGTAGCTTAGCAAACTAGCTTTGACGCTAAAGTTAAATTTGCAAGTTTGAGTCATGAAAGCGGGATATTTATTTTTCAGTACATATATTACATTTACATAAATTTTTGTTTAAATTGCGCACTTGTATATTATTCAACTGCATGTTCCAAAATTTCTCCGTGAAACTCATACGAAGCGTAATTAGAAAATGGACTGTGGCACTCGAAAGAGAATGTGTAATTATTGTTTGTCTTTAAATCGTCAGAATTATTAATCAGATTATCACTGTAATGTACTGTATGTGCAGTACTGACGAGGTTAAAAGTGCGAGGGGAAAACGGATATTTATTTTATTTTTCCCGTTTTTGGTCGTCCACTCGCATCCTGATTTAAACGTCGTGTGTTTAATCTCGTTCGGTGCAGGCACACAATTTTATTTGCAACAACAGACATGCTTTGCGAGAGTGAAAGGGTTACTTAGAGCTTCGGCTACTAACACAGAATCCTTTGCTGGACTGGATACGCGCCATGTGCTAGTTCTCTCGGCGCCTTCCAGTTTCTGCAGGCATGTTCTTGCCGTGAACCCTCGGACACCGGACCGCCCGACTGTCCACCTACAGCGTCAGCACTTAACCCGTCGTCTTCAACAAGAACAACGGCGCTCTCGCAAATTCAGTGTCCCAAAAAGATACGGAAACAGCAGCGACTTTGGTGGCCACGTGTCAATCAGTTGTTCACAGCTGTCAACTGTGTCACGAAGCTGATGGTGGTCATTTTGAACACCTACA